TGGGCCTATTACATTCCATTTTATTTTAACAAGTTTCCAGAAACTTACTATAACATGGAGCCACTGAAACCCAGTAAATATGAACTAAAAGATTGGTGTTTGAAGTTGCCTGCTTTTGCCGTGTACCAGTAAAGCACACAGCCCACTGGTCGCCAGGTCCCGCATACAAGCACACCGGTGCTTTCGCGGGCATGCATATGTAACATGTTTATAATCCAAATAAATTTCTTATTATTATTATCTCAGACTCCTGCTCTTGTACAGCCCTCTCTCTATACTGTCCTGCATGCGTTTTGAAGTGAAACACCAATTTTCCAAGTCAACTGCCCGGAGAATTCGCACCTTCAAGAACACCTGTGGAACGTTAAGCTGCCGACATCAAATGCACCTCATGTATGCTGCGACTCAACTCCAAAATTTAGTGACACTACAGAGAGAAAAAGAGCAGACTCAAGCTCATTACTCAACCCCTTGAAGGACAGACTACCAGATATGAGTTCGACTGTGACAGATTTGCAGTGTGGTTCCTGTCATAGGAAAGGAGCATGCCGGCAGCGTCGCTTCCGTCGCCTATTGTTAAGTGCCATCTAGCGGTCGCCGGGGAGGAATCCTCGGGAAGCAATGGCGGCCAGCTACGCTGCTGCGAGTGTGCCCGTCGTTATCACGACGGGTTTTAAGGCAGTTAAGAATCCAGAAAGCTTCTTCCGAGGTGCGAACCTAACGAAGGGGAAACTCTTCTACGATTCCGGTCATGTCTACGACGTGAAGGAGGTATACTATGACAAAAAAGTCGATGTTTCGGCGCGGTGTACTCCGCAGACGAAGCTCAATGCGCCTGCAAAATACATTGAAGTACAGGTAAGTCCATAAAAAGGCAACTTGAATTAACTAATGAACTAACATGCGGACATTTATTGTGTTTGAATCAGCTTTCCGAGGACAGAACGATCGTCGCCGCAAAATGCGACTGCCAAGCCGGCGTCGCTGGCAAAGGTAAACATGCCGCCGCCGTGGCTGTGTACTTGGCGGAGGATGCCGCAACATCGAAGACGAGTCACGCGAGAAGCTGGGGCATCCCTTCGTCCAAGAAGACGTACCCTAAGTTTTCTAGATTAGCCCCGAACTCCCGGAAAGGTACGTCGTGGTACCGCTCTGCATGAATTCAATTTGAGGTGTACTTGTGCGAGCATTTACTTTTTTCGCGACGCAGATATTCAATTACAGAAAAGCATTTTAATTTTGCCTAAATACCCTGTTGCAGGCGCGTCAGTTTCCGTGCGTGCAATTGACGTCCACCACGTGGGAAAGTTCTTCCCGGATTTGAACTGTCCCCACAACGACATGTTGCGGGCTGAAATGGAGTGTCCGGACGACGAGGACCCTATTGGACTGCCATTTTCACCAGATGTTCTCCAATTGTACGACTGGCCTTTGGAGGGGTTTCGGTATCGAAGCTTAGTCATGTCATTCGATTCTGGAAAACCTGTTCAGAAAGAAGAAGTGTTTCTCGACAGGTAAGCTGGGATGCACGATTGACACTATTGATCGCCTACTTTGTACATACTATTTTCTTACAGCATGACAGATCGTGAGAGGACCGCTTAAAACAGCAGCGTCTCCGCTTCGTTGTTGCGAATCCACGAGATTTGCAGAGAGACCAGCTTGTCGAGAGACACCTGGCGGAAAGAGCGACTGCTCCGCATCACGGCAACCAAGGCATGCATAATTTTTTTAGCAACTTGTCAATCTTTCCTACATAGTGAACCAGGATCCTCTCGACAGCTGGTGCAATAAGTCTAGGTATTACATCTGTTTCTGTCAACAAGGGGCAAAAGCACAATAGAAATATGTTAATGTCTCTTAAAGGACCCTGCAAGGACTCTTTTACTGGTTTTTAATTCGCACTGAACCTGAGCACACTGAACGTAGTAACTTAATGAAACTTTTCTTTTCTCGTATTTCGTTTCATATTAGAAGTTATAGGCAAATTAAAATTACAAAAACAAGCAAAAAATAACCTCCTTCATGACGTCGTTGGTCACTTGAGTGGCCATGAACTAGAGGAGTAGTGAGCTCAGCGAGCATTCACAGCTGCCGCACTCCGTGTTGACGGCTAAAGAGGGTGCTACTAAAGCATGTTCTGGACATGCTGTATGAAGCGGGCGGCCAGGGTGGCTTGCATTGCTTTCGCTGCACGATTAAACATTAATTCGGCATGACACTTCATTGGCTCCAAACGACAGCAAACACGGGGTAAAGATCAGTTTAGAACGGGAGCCACTTCGCGCTGCCATACTACCAAACAGCTGAACCGCAAGCCATACCTGCTCGCCGAAGGCCTTCGGAACGCTCAAAACCAGTCAACTCCTCAAGCCCATATACGACCGCAGTGCCGCCGCGTACATCCGGGATATTTCTACGCTCGCCGCTCGTTGGCGCCTGATCCTAGTGTTACCCCCTTCTAGTATGCGCCGCCTTTTCCGCCGCTTGGTGGTGGGTATGTCGACGGTTCATTTCTTGTTTCCGCACTTTATAAACTGCATTTGTTTCTTTTCGGATCTAAAATACTGAACAAAGACTTTTATAAATAACTGAAACGGTTCGTGCCACTTTTATTTTGTATTTCGACTAAAAAGAAGCTTTTAGCGGCTCTGACCAGTAGCAAGGCCAAGACCAAAGACTTCACATATCATGTGCTTTCGGCACCGCAGGTTGCCCCCGTAGGTGGGACGAGGTTTCCGCGTCGTCTGGTTAAAATATGACGCACCGATATTTAGTTACTCTCTCCGTGCCTGCTGACTTTCCCGAACCCCCAAAGATGTGGAAACCGCAAAAAAAGTAGACGCTTAAACATGATTGCAGTGCCCCTTTAAGCTCTGGTGTCAACTGTTTGTTTCAGTGTAAATGTTCCAAGTCTTTTATTTTTCAGGGCCACAAAGTGATACGCTGTGAAGGAGACCTTCGAGATGTCGCCAGGACCATGGTGTCTGAAGCTCCATTCTGGTCGCCAGCAACGGCTCATGGGCAGCGCAACGAGCCGAAAGCCCGAAGCAAGTTTGAAGAGGACCGTGGCCTCAAAGTTCACCAGTTCGGGCTTGTGGTGGCACCAGAAGACCCTTGGTTGGGATGTTCTCCTGATGGAATCTTTCGGTACTATAGCTCAAACCTCCACTAATGCCTCGAAATGACAGCCAACATTTCAGCAGAGTTAGCTGGTCATGAGCCTAAAGAAGTTATGAATCTTAAAAGTTTCTAGGGACGTCTATTTATGGTGCTAACTCAACTTGCGCACTCCAAGCATTATTAAAAACCAAACTTTGAGCTCAAATTAACGGAAGAGCGCAAGGTCACTCGGTAGCCCACAGCTTGCGATTAGCTCTCGCGCACTCCCTGCCGGCCGGCCTTTCTTATATACACTTTTTCTTTATGGAAAATTTTGCAAAAAGGAACAGTGTTTGATTGCAATTCTTTAATTTCTAGGATGCTTGGAGCACAAAGATCGAGTTATCACCATCGAAATGCGGTCTGGAAAACCATTTTAGTGCACTTTTAATAAATTAATGACTACCATCTCAGAGCTCCCAAATGCTTTCTTTTGACATTTTATACTAACTTTTCTCGCTTCCAAACGATTTTTTTTTACGTTTTTTACAAGCTTTTCTCGCCGTGTTGAAACAGTCCGGCCCTTTTGCTTCATTTGAATAAATTATTAGTACATGCGTGCAGGTATATGCACTACCTTTGCCGGTATATGGCTCCTTGTGGTGTGCATTATCATATTTTTTTACCACAAGGCTTCAGTTCAGCATCATACATTTTCTCAAAGCGTTAATGCAAGTCTTTCACATACACATGCAAGACGGACATACCTTCAGCGGTTATATTTTGTTCAAGTCGTGTTGAAATGCATATCAAACCCTGCCAGCTAATCATTATTTCTCTATACTCAGGAGCGAGGACGGCAAAACCACCCTGCTTGAGATCAAGTGCCCCTCCAGCCGATGGAAGAAGAAGTTAACGGAAAAGCCACTTCTGTCATACCTAGTAGAGGACAAGTGCAGCAAGGAGATTTCTTTGCGAAAGTCACACACATACTACACACAAATACAAATCTGCTTGTATGTTTTGCAGCTTGAAGAGTGCGATCTATATTTGTACTGCTCTGTAGACCACAAGACGCTCAACATCAAGCGTGACGAGGAATTCCTTTCTGAAGCAATTCCGAAGCTACGGTCATTTTATTTCAAGTACTACTTAGGAGAACTCGTTGCGCTCCATTCAAGATGAGCTAAGAAAGAATGTCTTTCTGCTTGAAACCAGGCACATAACAATTGAGCAACTTCAATAAATCCCGACTATAAGGAAAAACAAGAATCTCTTTTTTTTTCAGTGCATGAACAGTTGCACAAACACAGAATGAAAATCCAGAGCATATGCATTGCAGCAAGGCATTTCAGGTAAGGGGACAAAGGGGTGGGGGTGCCATGCATGTTTTGAACAGTTGCTTATCATTCCGAGGGGATGAAGGCAATTTCACAGTCAAACTGAAATGGAATGAACTCACTGGGTATATCAAAGGGCAAATCTGTTCTAGTTAATTTGAGTTTGACTGTTCTCAGTACACTCAACGTCACTGAATCCCGAAGTAAATTATTGTTCTTCTCAATACTGTGCACAGTTGTGTAGATGTACTGCCTCCGAGTTTCTATTCGATGCTTTGCGGTAAAACGATTGAAAAGCATGTGCGACATAGCAGTCATTCTACAGGGCATGCATGCTACGTGGGACACATGCTAGTTCTTGGTTGTGCCACCCTGAGCGCACTGAAACCCACAAGTTGCACCAAAGATAAAACGGAATTGCCCTTCAATTCCTTCCCTAAACTGGCAAGCAGCTCAAAGCATCTAGTAGCACTTCTCCAGCCGGAACCTCGAGGCTAGCCTGCGAATGGACACTACACACTGCTAAACTACCTCCAAAAGCTACAAACGATCTGCACTTTACCGAGGCCTAAATAGACCCGGCCTCAGATTGGTGAGTACACACAAGATATGCATAATGTTGTCCAGGTGTGGAATTAAATGATGCGAAACACGCTGGGTTATTGTATAAATTTTCACTCTTTGAATTACCCTCTCGACATGAATCCTGACAGAAGCTGTCTCGTATGTTGAGTCTACCTCAACCTCTGTGAACTGCACTCCTGATGCAAATGGTGGCATTACCAGTGTTGCTTTCTTAGCACCAACGCCAGTTACTATGCCTGGAAACCCTTTGTCGGCCAGGACGACATCATCGGGCTGCAGTTTGTGCAAAAAACCAGACTCAATTGTGATAGCAGTATCAGTTGTCCGCCCACCAAATCCATCTGAAAGGAACGTCACAAGACCACTAGGTGCGACTCCAATTAAGTACTTAACAGTATAGCACCCTTTGTACTGCGAATACCACAGGTTTTGCTTCTCGACTGACGGAGGCATCTCCACCCTCATCTCCGTGCAGTCTATTATTACCCTGCAAAGAGGATAATGAACTTTGAAGCTTAATGGCATGGTGGCCTGGACAGCACCTCTTCTCGGCCACCAAATCCAGTCTCTTGTTCTGGCGCAGAGGATTTCAAGTGTAACCCTGAATATTCGTGCTGCCGTCGTACGATGGATACTGAACAAAATGCCTAGGCACGAAAAAGGTACATTATGTTTTAACTTAATCAAAAATAGTAAGAGCCGATTCTCGCTTGACAGTTCATTTTGCCTCCTCGAGGTATCTGGAAATAAGCTCAACAACAGAGCAAATAAAGAAAATGATGCGGAACTTAACCTTGTTAACATTGCCTCGTCGTCACACACAGACTTGTACCCAGTGAAGAAGGGCTCTTTGTACACTGGCCCAGCTCCCCTATCGCAAACTGACACCGTGTCTGGCCCACACCCTTCGTCCACTACTGTCTTATGGCAGACAAGGGTTGAGACATCTCCCCCCATGTTACAGCAAAGAAACAGGGTGCATGGTGAGAAGCTTGCTCCATCATCTTCTGTCATGGTGGAAGCCTGCAAAGATAGGAAGGAATGCAACACTATTACACTGAGCCGTAAAATCCAAAAGTCCGTATTATTTCTAGGGTGCACACATTCAGATTCACATCCGAGTTCAGGATTTATTGGCTTCTATGTGAACATACATTCTGAGAAAAGGCAACTTTGGAGGTTTCACCTGCCAACCAACAATAGTATGTCTGGTTACATATTTATATGAGACAAACAAGAACGGACGTGGAACAACAAGGAGCCCAGGCAGAACAATATGTGAAGAAATGGAGTTTGTTGAAGTGTTCGTTAGTGTCCTCCAGTGCCTATTTCACAAAATTCCTAGCATTATAAATTTCCAAGAGGTTATTGTCCCTATTTACTTGCAAGTTTCAAATTCGTTTCATAGAGGCAGCTACGAATACGATGCCCGAGGGTTAAAAAGAAACACGGGAACTTCATTTGGCAGTCTTGTACTTGCCAGGAGTGTTTCCAAAATATCCTTATGGCAAGTCGCCAAACAGGGCCACTCTTCTGTCCACATATACACAGCCACCTCTGAACATAGAGAGTGTGAGAAATGGTATTCATATGTCTATTCAGTTGTTTTAAAGTTCTGCTTACACTGGCTGTTAATGGAGCAGGTGCTGGCTCCTCTGCTGGTTGCCGCTCCATGGGTAAATCAACTTCAGGTGCAGCTGTACACGGTGTTACACGCCTTTGTTGTTCGACCCTTTTCAGTTGCCTGAAGAGAGAAAATTTGTCAGTAGCCATACTATTCTGTTAATCAGTGGCAATCAGTTTGTCGAATGTTTTGTCGATGTGCAATGTATCATAGACAAATCTTTTTACCGACAGATCGTTTCGTCGACATCTCGCATTAGCTCTTTCTCTACACAGTGTCTAGAGTGCCGTCCGAAGGTGGTTTATGCCCGCGTTCTAGTGCCGTCTTAGCGTGCAAATGCCATCCTTTAGTGAAGAATGGCTTGCTTTTGGCACTTTGTGGCCTTATTAGCATGCCTACTTTCGCTGTACTTCTTTTTATTTAACTTGGCTAATTATGTGTACACTTGGACTCCGTAAAACTTTATCTTTATAGCAAAGAATATCTGAAAACAAAAAACTGGCATCTCCGACTCGTTTTAACAGCGTAATGGTAAGCGTGCTTAGCTAGTACATATTTAGGTTCAATATATGTGTGCCTTAGAAAACTTGTATTTTCTTGTATTTTGTAGAGGCTGTTGCTGCAACCGGAGGACGTGAGATTTAAATCACAACCGCAACATTCGAGCGAGTGCCACGTCCGCAAACTTGAGAAGATCGCGCACCTGTATTTCGCAGACATTATAAGAAAGCATGCTGCTCATTCAGTAGTGCTTGTCTCGCTCGCGCTTTCCTTTAAAACAAATCGTGGGCGAGTGGCTGACGAAAGATATGCAATAAGCATGAATCGTGCAGAACACTTTCGGACTACACTTGAAAGCGCAAGTGGAGTGCCGACAAACGGCCACTTGAACGCTCCGTTTTTCCGCAATGAGCCGCCCGGGGTTCGGGTAGCTTCACACGCACCCGTGGTGCACGCGCGACGAAACCTTGCGACAGCGAGCTTTAAATAAATTCCTGACTAACAGATTAACAATAAATAAAAACTACAGAACCACAGAAAATGGGAAAGTCACCTGTCGTGTCGTTCAGCAACCCCGAGTACCACTCTCTTCTTGTACGGCGATGGAAAGATCGAAGGGTTGTAGCTCGGGTGGGCTTCCTCATTTCGCTTTTCATTCCCCAAAAAATGCTTGCTACAAATTTTGGAATTCGGGGTAGGGGTCCAAGTCGTTCCATCGGCGCTAGAAAAAGGACATTAGACGAAATAGTTTCACACACTATAAAGCGCGACGTTAATTGAAAAGTGTAATGAGAAACGCGACTCACTTGCATCGACGGACCAGTCGCGCCCAAACCGCGCGGCGTTCTGTCTCGTAGGACTTCGCGGGAAACCCGTAGAACTTCGTATCGGGCGAATTTTTGTAGGTGCTGTTGCATCCAACCACACAGCAATTATTTCTACTCTTCAGGGTGGGAACCGGCATCTCGCAAGTTGCGATTTCTAGACCGCAATAACGTTTTCAACACAACCCCAACGCGCCGGAATGGAGAAGCTGCCCGGGCAAAGCGAATCTGTTTGCCGCTAGGGGCGCCCTGGTCGGGGCTTGAGTTACATCCGCACGGTTCCTATAGTCTGGAAGAAGACTAAGTGTGATCTGTGCGATACTTGTGCTTGTACCAGATGATGACCTTCCGCGCTTTGCTCAAGTGTCACTGATTATGATGTGTGGCCCGCACCAGTGTGTTCTGGCTTTATTTCTTGATACAAAATTTTGATGACAATTTTTATGCTCAAGTTGTCGAGAACACAGCCCACAGTGTCATAGTTGAGGATATTGGACGCTGTGGAGTTTTCTGAGCTGCTGCACCACTACACATGGGGAAACTAATGCTTTGTTAACCCCCGCTCTGCTTTATTTACTGCCACGCACCAATAACTCACTACAGACAACTAATAAAGTTCTGCATTATGCACTTATGCTTGTTTTCATTGTTACTGTACTGTTGTGCTGTCCATCACCTTTTTATTATTGTGTACATGTTATAAGATTGTAATTTCAGTTTGATGTGCTGTAGAATTTTCAGAATTTCTTTGATGCTAATGCAGCATGGGCTGAAAAAATATTGCCTTTTAAATAGACCGAAAAAAATTGGTTTTTTAACGTATTGTGCTGGGATTTAGTACAGAGGTACGGGTAGATGGTGAATGTTTGTGGTGAAAATATTAACAAATTGACTTTCCTTGCTCGAAAAAAAGAAAAGGAAAGAGAAACTTGCTATCTGCAATCTATGGTAACCAATAGCAGACAGTACTGGCCCACTTGGAGGTGCTGCCGACTAAGAGCTTAACACGAGACTGAGACAAGCCTCGGTCTCGAACAAAATGGCCTAAACATTGGTTTTTCACATTTATTCATATTTCCAAACACAGAAATACAGCATTCTGAAAATTGTGCGTAGCAGTGATGCCCGCCGGGCTGAAGAAAACAGAGTCAAAAGTTTCAGAAGATGTTTGCTCAACTCTACTCAGTGCAGGGCTGCCGACCTGGGGGAAATTTACCAGAATAGGGTAATATTCAGGTCTATGTGGGAATAAGGAAAATCTTGCTAGTTTAAGGGGATTTTTCGGTACCGTATATATCTAAAAATTTATAAACCAATTATGATTTTTTTTCGAGATAACATTGAATTTAAGTGGCCTTTGCCACATTTGGGTTATTCCCTTCATCCGTTTGGCAGCTTGTTGTGCGACCATCTGTCAACACTGAGGAGCACTGCTTTCTTGGCGCTGGTTCATTGGCCGCTCGAACATCACTCGCGCGACGGATCTGCTCCATAGCCAAGTAGACTTGGATTTCATTTTCTGCAGTTTGTTATCCAACTGTGTATGGGATAGTAGTGCAGGGAGCAGGATATTGCTTAGTTTGGGTAATTTAGCTAGATGTAGCGGTAGCGAAAAGGAAGTTGGTTTAGCGGGGCCAAGTGGTGCTAGGACGGTGCCGTTTGAATTTTTGCCGGGACACTTCGCTGGAGAACGACAATTAGGTTTAGTTTTTGCTCTCATTTTGTCTATGCGTGTTGTCACATAGCCGGAAAAGTTCCTGCGGACGTGGGAGACTCAGAGGCATGAGGAACAAGAAAAAAAAAAGTGAAGTGGGAATGATGATTTGAAAGTGACGAAAGTTGAGTGTGGCGGCTGCAGTAGAAGGTGTTTCCTCGAGGATCCCCTTTCAGCTCGATCGAAGAGGCTACTGAGAGGGAATACCCATGCCGGATCTGCGTGAAAATTGAGGAGGTGAATGAGGCGCTGCAGGAGATAAGGTGAGAGCTCAAGGTCGAACGGGAAAGGAGCGAAGATAGAAAGAGGAGCAAGAGAAACCGTAACTCGAAAAACGCGGCTAGAGGCGATGGCGGAAGCAATGAGGAAAGCAGCAGAGAAAAGGGTGGCAGAGGAAACGAGGGGGGAGGGAGGGTAGCCGAAGTGAGGCTAGAAGAGTTACAGAAGGAACTGGAAATAGAGCGGGAAGAACGTGGGAAGCTTGAAGTGCAGCCTTAAGAGCTCGTACCCCTGAAGGCGAGGCTAGAGGAAATGAAGGGGAGGTGGAGAAGAGAAGCAGAACAAAGAGAGGTGGCACAGACCGCATTTGAGGAATCGAAGAGGAAAGTGGAGGGTAAGGTACAGATGAAAACTGGGATGAACCCCGCAGTAGAAGAAAACCGGGGCACAGAGCCCCCTACTCCCGCACCCAGATGAGGGGTACTTGTGCAAGTCGCTGCGCCCCCACCCAAACTTGTGGGAAATCAAGAGTGTGTAGAGCCAGCAGTAGGGAAGTAGAAACATGGGAAGACAAGCAGAGTACTAGTTATTGGGAGCTCTAATGTCTCCAGGTGTGCCACAGGGGTTACGAGATGGGTGAGTGGGGATGGTAGGGTGAAGGTGTTAGCCCACCCAGGAAAGTGCATGAGAGAGGTGATGAAGAGCGCGAAGGACATAGTGTAGGAAAAAGAGCAGGAGAAAAACTTGGAGATGGTTCAAGCTGGACTGAATAACATCCTCAACGGGAGGGTCCACAATTTGGGGAGGCAGATAGAGGCTAAAGTGAGGAAGCTTATGGCGGTCTGAGGGGGTCCACATTCTGATGTGCACGATCCTGGAGGAAGAAAGACAGTCAGTGGCAACTGGGAAAAACATAATAACCGCCAACTGAATAATCAGGCAAAAGGGAAAGAAGTTGGGCTATGAGGTGCTGGAGCACGGGAGTGTACCAAAGAGGGCCGAAAGAGAAGGGCTGCACTCCAGTCAACACATGGAATGGCGCATCAGGGCTAAGATGAGACAGGGCAAGGATTTTTTGGACCCGCTGAGGGCCCGAGAGCAGAGAACATAGGAAAAAATTTAGTAAGGGGGTAGGAAGGGAGGGCAGGAGGAAGCCTCGTAGGAAAAAAAAAAGAGACAGTTGCAATCAAATGTCTTATTCACACTGTTTACTGGAAGCTGGTTACAATGTATGAATGAAACATTTGACCGCAACTACGAAGACCCTAGTTCAATTTCAGCGGCTCTTTTCAGAGCCACCAAAACGCTGCTTTTTTGGGCGCACTCCTGGCTGCCCCTCATGACACATCCAAATGTCCAACTGCGAAAGCAGACAATGCAAAGAAACACGGCCGTCATTCGGTGTCTTTCCGACAGCTGCGGGGAGACATCGAAACATAAGACATAAAAAAGTCGACATAAAAAATCATTCTTTATGTTCTCATTTTTATTGTACTCGGAGTTCCAACTCAAAGTTTTAGCACAACAATGTGACGAGTTAAAGACATTTTTCAGAAAAGCTGCTACAAGCGTCGTCAAGTTTTTGATTTTTGCGAGCCATTTTAGCCTGTAAATGGTTTTTGGTGACACCCTGTATTTGTTAACTTCAGATTGTTAAAGGGACACTTCAACAAAAATGTTGTGCATATTTTTTGCCTAGGCGTGCTCTAGGGAGCACTATCACATTGACCACACCAATTTCCTGTTTAAAAAGGTATGAAGACAAAGTTTAAAACCAATGAAACAATTACCGAACAGCACCTTGTGGATGTCGAGAACGCCTCGTTTGAAACGTCCATCTAGGAATACTGGGACATCCTAAAACTATGTAGCAGCGCCGCTCTGCGGAAGTACGGTTCACCAAGCAGGCATTGTGGTCCTGAACGCGACTCCAATTTCCAAACCTTGGCAAGGGGGGAAAGCCAAAGCAGAGCCATGGACACATTAGACTTGTGGCCCGATCGCTGGAAGCTTCGGTCATGTCATCAGCTAGAGCAGTGGTTCTCAAATGGGGTTCTGCGGACCCTTTGGCTTCCACAGAGGCGCTCTAAGGGTCTGCAAAGCCCTGCCTTATTAGTCAAGCTCAGCAATAAAAGCAGTCTTTTCCTCAGGTTGAGAAGAAATGTTGTAACTTTTGGGTGAGTTTTCTTGAGTGAATGTCAATGAGAGAAGTCAACTTCACACTAGCTCTTGGTTATATCCATTTATAAAATCATCATAATTAACCCATACTGCTCCCCTTGCCTCATCCCGAACGGAGTCCTCCATCATCTTTGCCAATCCACGAGGGGACCTCGAAACATTAATGGCATTTACAGTTTTGCTTTTTAGCTTTTAAGCAGTATTAGGTTTTGGAACTTGTTCCTGTTGTTTTAAGTTTATTCAGTTTTCAGTTTGACTTTCGTTGCCTAGAGAGTAAAACAGTGAAAACACTCACCCAATATGATTAATTTGGGAGCAATATACCCAATAAGCTTAACAAATTTTACAAAACAAGAACATTTTCTTTTTTACAAAGCTGACGATTTTTAATGATAATAAATTATAAAAGGAAGAAAAATAAATCTGTGAGCTTTTCTTCGCATACGCTCAATGGCCAGTAAGCTTTTCTCCGCATCCACCGGTTTCGCGGCGAGTTTTTCTCTGGGATTCTGGGGCACGCGTTCAGTCCACGAACATCTCAAACCAGGCTGCAACGCGTTCCTGCCACAAAGCGGCAAAGCTTGTAGCCACGCCAACGTCGTCCTAGCCTTGTTCGTGCCGCGACAAACTGTATCATGATTGAGACAAGGGACGTCATGATTTCACTGGATGTGACAATCTCTGCTGGCTACTCTGTGGGCGCTTGACTGAGTGGGCCGTTTAGAACGAAAACTACAGCTGTCCGTTCAAAATACGAATGTGTGACTGTCATTTACAGATATTGATCATATTCAACCTACTTCTGAACATAACGGGTATATTTCAGAAGTTTTTGCACTTCTGCCTTTTTGTTTACTCAGGAAAAACAACGAACCTTGCTGAAC